AAGCACATCGCAGGTTGCGATGCCTAATTAAGTCCTTTATTTAAAATGTGTATTATGTATTCTTAGTATATAAACTTATACCAAAATGCGGTACTACGGCATAAGTCCACGCAAAATTAATTGGTTTTCATAACGCGACCGGGTCAGTTTTTTAAAAAAAAATTTTTTTTATAAAACAAAAAGGCCACTGACTAGATCTATTCAAAGTCTCATCGTTGTGAAAATGAAAACATTAAATTTGTATACGTAGATAATTTTTTAAATTGGGATATCTGTCGATCCACCCGAATAATAATTTTTTTGATTTGATGCAGGTTAATTTAACTGCAGAACCCATCAGCATCTCCGAGTATATCCCGAAACCACATAAGCGTATCAGTTAACGAGAAATTTTTTTTACTTCATACGGTTAACATGGCATCAAGCGACTCAAGTCAACCTTCAAATGCAGCTACAAGTGTAGCTACAGGTATAGCTTCTAATAGTATATATTTGCTTTTGTACTGTTCTTAAATGAATATAATAACGTTATTTTAAAATTTACAGAAGAACCTACAAATTTAAACTTGACGCGTCTGATCGATTATCTAGCAAACTCTCTAAAGAAAACGCTTGGTGGTGTACACACCTATACTATATACGCGCTTTCTACTAAATTGATACCCAAAGAATCTTTGACTCTACCTGAAATATCCAACGCTGACTCGAACACCAACAAATCTAATCTCTTTGAGAGACAGTTACTATTACTTGTAAAGGAAAAAATTCCGTCAAATGATAAAGAAGTGTTTGTCTCCGGTGTAGAAATTTATGAATATCATGATTTTGACAGAGATTTACTTAATATCTACATATCTAAAGTAGACACTACTGGATATCGACCTTGTTCTTCGACTCCTACCAAAAATTTGTTAACCGCCTATATGAAATTCTACTTAGAAGAAACCAATGTTAATAGGCAACTGTTATTGAAACGTAAAACAATCAAATTTAATATTTTTGCGCGGCCACATCCCCAATATCTATTTCACCTTTCAGAAAAAAATCCGACGAAACGCGTATTAAACGACTCTGAATTATTAAAATGGTGGAAAAATGTTCTTCAACAAACTTTTTTACACAACACAATATGTAATGCACAAGAGAAAACTCGAAAAGAACGAGGATGGTTTTTTTTTTTCCTGGAATGTCTTCTGAAAAAATTGCACGCACATTTATCAAAGATATTGTGAATGGTGAAGCGGAAAATCGCGAAAATTTATTCTGGCAATATGGATATCCATATTCGGATGCTGAAGAAGCAATAAAAGTTATTCCTAGGTTTGAAGATGACGCAAAGTCAAGATGGTTGGACACTGCCAGGGAATCATCATTAACAGTGAAGAACTTTTGGGAGTTGATATCTATTGGGGGTGAATTTGCTGGCGGAAAGCAGGCCGGTTTCTTTTGGGTTGAGGTTGCATTAGATGATAATCAAGGATTGGCAAACCAGGATATAGAAACAATACCAATCATTGACCAAAGTTTTAACATGGGAATAAAGAAAGAACTCGAGAAAGAAGTTGGTGGTGTTGTTGTTAGTTCTCACACGTATGTTCAGGCTCTTGGAGAACTTTTCACTCAGGAATTCCATTCCGAAGAGACTGCAATTGAATCAACTTCATATTGGTGTCGTTATTTTACCGGATTACAAGATAAAATTAATCCGGACAATTTGGTGATTAAATTTACGGTGAATAATAGTACCATAACACATAATGATGGTCAAAAG